ATTGGGGAGTAGACATCTACATGTAAATAGTTATTTTTTTTAAATCTCAATTAGGAGCCTTCAGCCTGTTGAAAAAATCATTAAAAGTAAGATAATAATCTGAAAAGGCTGAAACTTTAGAAAGTACTTCTTTACACAGCCAATCCCACCACCAGTAGTCCTACAGAGTAATATAAGGAGAAGACAAAAACTCAGAATCCATTCAATCCTACCCATTAACTTTTCTGTTACGTAAACTATTTCTGAATCAGTTTTAAAATAGTGTGAGGATTAGGAGATCTCTAGGCTAGTCTGCAGTCGTTCTGGTTATGTACTTGTCTGCCTGTGGGTCTATGCTGCTGCTGCTGGGCAATGTTTTTCAATGTGGTAGGCCAATATTCTCCCAACAGTTAATAGTCCTGAAAGTTATGTTGGTACAATTAAAAAAACCACCACCACCAAAAACCCCCAAAAAACCCAACCGATAAAAAAACCCCAAACCCAAACCTGCTAGTTTTTGTAGCAAGAGTTTCCTTCCGATGTTGCTTTTAGCATCCTGGCAGACTTCCCGAAGAATGCTGTCTTAATGATTCATACGAATGTTAACGTTACCTGAAAGAAGTCATTTACCTCGTATGCCTTTAAGGAAATAGACCACTGAGAAGCTTAACTTTATCAAGCCTGAAAGTAAATCTTAACTAGTAGAGGGGAAAAGTAGCTTTTTTTCTTCTTTGGGCTTATTTGTAAGTCTTATCTTGAGAAAGGCAAGTAAAAAAGCTTCTGGTGCTTCCATGGGGTCTGAGGTCTTTGGTGAAATTTTACCTTTTAACTCAAGCTGAGGCAAGATAATTTCCTACAAAACTTCTATATGGCAATTTTTGTTCTACTCCATGTGTGTTTCAGAGTCTTTGCACTGAGGAAGACCTGTCCCACTATGAACAGTGTGGTGCTGTGGTGATGCTTGATACTAGGCATGGCTCGTAGGCATCCACCTGAAAGAGAAACATTTCCTTGGGATTGCAGAATTGCAATTTGAAGTTTAGCATCTCGCTCATTCTCGTCGGAATGCCTTGACCTCTGGGCCAGGGGCTATTAGAGCATTAAGTTGTGTGCTGACTCCTTGTTGCTTGTTTGTGCACGTATATGGAGTTTTGGGTTGAACGCCTTTTCTTTTTACTATTCTTGCTCGTTATTGCTTCAGAAATTCTGTGGTGATCTCAAGAACTCTTTCCTGATAAAAACTAGTGCATGTGGTTTTATTTTTGTTTTCTGTTAACTGACAGGCATCTGTAAAAATCTTTGAATTCAATAAATTGTCATTTCCTCATAAAAAGATGACCTCTTTTAAAAAATTAAACCCAAGTAATCATCATTTAACTTCTTTTAGGCTCTTGTCTCCCTGTATAGAGTGAAAGATAAAGCCCAGCTAGAAAAATCAGTTAGGGAGTTATGAGTTACAGTGCACTGAAGGGGCTGTAAGTGATGTCTTTGCCTTTATTAAATGAAGAATATGAAGTGCCTTTCACTTCTCTGTGGCTGTGCTTAATGCAAAGTAATTGCTAAGTGCATGTTAAAAGGAAACCTACCAAAATACAAGATACATTGCTCTCATACTTGCTTCTTCTGTAAAGGAGTCTGTAAGGTATCCACGTGCAAGTGGATAGGAAAGGATGCCTCAGCTCCTTCCCCCAAGCTGTGATGACCAGTATTACATCTCATGGTTGTAGGTACAGAATCTCCTCTTTATCCAGGACAGGCATGGTCCCAAAGTAGGAATATGTTGCACTTGATATAAATTGCTGCAAACTGACAGAAATGTTCACAAAATTTAAGCATCTCAGACTGTCAGGTTTCTTCCCCTCTTCCTTCTCACGCACTTGTCTTTAGAATAGTAAAATATGCTTTTGCACATGTTTGCAAAGTTCATCTCAAGGTGATACTGAGAGATACTTTTATGGCTGTATTTAATTTTTTTTTAAGAGAGAAAATAAGTGACCCACCAATCCAGTTTTCCAAACAAGATTGTCACCTGGCGCTGATAGTTGCAGGCCCAAGAAATCTTTACACTTCTGCCTGTTACTGCCTGGTGCCCAGGAAGATCCTGATGATTCTGATTTTCTTACTCTAAAGAGAACTGAATTATTGCTGCTAACATCAGAGTTGACATTGATTATTATTGGCCTATATGAGATGCCGCTGAGTTCTGGGTTTGTGCAGTTTAAGGCTCTGATGTGTGAACAGTGGTGCCTTGAGTTGTAGGAACCTGTGTTCCTGCCCACTCCATCTCTGTACAGAAAGGCTGACATTTTCTGTGGCGAGGATGCCCTGTTGCAGAAGGGTGACACCTGACTCTGTTAAAGCTTGTGTGTTAGACCTCTATAAAAAGCGGCGTTAGATTAAGGCTGCGTGTGAGAGCTGAAACCCAGTACTGACTCCAACAGCTAAGGCCAGCCGTGATCACGGCTGTGCTGGTGGAGAGGCAGGGACTGGTGGCTGATGTACTCTTTATCCCTGCCTGTGTGAGAGGAAGGGAGTTTCTAGCATCAAGAGGAGGAGGTTTTGTTCATTCTTCCCTGCTCTGCTGATGAGAGGAATGCCCGCCTCTTAAGAGCTCCCATCCACCCTGCAAGCTCCCAACTACACACGTTCCCAGAGTTCTACTTTGCCTCTGGCCCCTTGTCCTTGTGGACCTTGCCTTCAGATCTGCCTGCCTGCCTGGGAAATCTTGGCTGGCTTTGCCTAATAATTGAGGTGAACAATTGCTGTCCCCTTGGGCTAATTGCACATGTAATCTATTCTTTCCTCTTCTCCAGGCCTCCTCGTTCCACAGAATAAACCCCAACCACAATAAAACCACAAAAAAAAAAACCAAACAAGCAGAGAAACAGATTTTGCTGTTTAAATGAAAAGCAATGAAAGGCAAAAGGAAACAGAGGCCAGAGCGATTTTCTACATTCATTCTTTCTAGATACACTTACTGATGCTATGAGGAATATTTGCTTTTCTCTGTGAGCAGCAGACCTTCGCATCACTGGGAAATTAATACAATTCTGAGAACTGCTTGGTAGCATTTCATCCCAAAAGGATGCTGTTGCACTGTCATTTTGTGAGACTGATTGCTTTCTGACTGACGTACTAGGAAAAAAACCCATGTCCTTATTTTGTGACCCCTCCTATCATTCCTTGCCATTGCTGTATGCCAGGAAACTCCTCTGGTTCTTTCACTCAGAGTGACTGTCACTGGCATCGTATGCTAATTCTATCAGATAAACATTACTGGGTGCCTAGTAGCTAAACAAGTTTTCTGTAGCCATTTTGGCATGTGTATCTATATCTGAGTTAGCTTGGTTTAATCTGCAGTGAAACTGTGTTGATCAACTCTGCAAAATGGTTGTTAAGGCTAAATGCCTGTCGTCTGCTTAGGAAGGTGTATACTTTTATTTGGTCTAGTTGTGCCAGAATCAGTCTTCAATATGATATGTGGTGGACTTGATAGGCAACTGTATTTAGTAATTAATTTCTGAAACACTAAATAAATGATAGAAGTTATAAAGGCCCTGTTCAGAGTCATGTTTGACTGGCTGAACATGATGGTTTTCCCAGGTTAAATCCATGTAAGTTTGGTTGTTGAATTCTTGGTGACTAGTAACTCGACACTATGAATGTCGAGTTAAAAAATGAGTGCTAGTGTGGTTGTCGACATACACATTCAGTATGTTCAGTTTGCACTAATATTTAAAGTTTTGTGTCTTGTCTAATTACATCCAAATGCTAAGTTAGGAGCAGAAAAGGAGTGTCAGAACTCTTTGTATGTCCTTCATAAATCATATGGGAGCCTAGGTTAAGTGAAGTATGATAATACCACTCTTGTTTTGGATAATGGAGAGCCTTAGTTTAGTGGTGGAGTGCGCTCCAATTTGTAGTGGCATAATGGACTTAAGGATAACACATAAATGTACAAATGCATATCTGAAGTGAATTAAAGAAACAGGGGGGCTTAAAAAACATTGAAGAAACAGCGACCTCAGTTACACGAGGTTCTCTTTGCACAGCTTGGAATTACAGGGAGCCTTTAATGTGAGACTCAATTTTTTACTCTCACTCTGAAACTTCTTAGTGTTGCTACCATGTTGCGTATGGGCTGAAGTGTAAATGGGAATTGGGGTCGGAGTTGGCCTGATAACCAAATGAGCAAGGAACCAGGACAAAGTCCAGCAGTCAACACCAGATGTAATAAGTTGTAAAAAATGAGGTAGATGGTACTTCTGATAAGTGGCAGCTTGGATGCTCCAAAAATGTTTAGAAATACATAAAGAGGTACATAACACTTACTGTTTTCATTTGTCTGTGGGCTAATGGGTAGAACAAGGGCATCGATCTGCTAAATTTCCACTCTGGTAAGCTTGCAGGATATATACTGGAAAGAAAATGGATGATTTCTGATTCTTAAGGTTGTAGAAATCTGATTTTCTTGAGGTGGAATTTATCTGATTTGGATTTACTAATTAATTCCATGCAAGGTAAAATGTGGTTCTGTCTTCTGGCCCATATTAAAATCAGTAGTTTCAATATGGTGGCAATATGTGTATGAATAACAGTGCTTTAGAGTGGGTTTTTATATCTCCCTTTTAAAGACCAAACTCCAAATGCTACCTTCTCTTTGGAAGAAGAACGTGATTTTATGAAAAGTTGTATGGAAAACTGTTTTGTTGGGGAAGAAGAAGTTGCAGAGCAGTCCTTCTGAAATGACTTCTAAAGAAAGTTTTATTGCTAGTATGTAATGCTGTTGGGGAAAAAACCTCACTGAATAATGGGATATGACTTTTGTAGCCATTTTCTAACTTTTTGATTGCCAAAACTGTTATCAGAGCATGAAAGAATTAGTATGAATCTTAAAAATTGCATTTGCTACTTTTTAGATGTGCAAACAAAATTTACAGTTTTGTGTAAAAGTAAGATGGAAAAAGAAATTGCATCTTACATATTTTTTTTGTTTGTTTTTCTTTTCCTTTTTATAATAGGGCTTTATTTGTCCTCTTTGTATGAAGTCTCATGGATCAGCTGAGGAGCTGTTCAAACACTATGAAGCAGTTCATAATTCTGGCATTGATTCAACTCATGGAGGGGAAAGTCATCTGTCACCGGAAAGGTGAAACAGTACTCATTTGTGCATGTGCTTTTGTATCAGTGTTGAGCTGCTTCTAATTACACTGGAGGCTGTATTAATTTGAACACTTACTTATGTAGTCAACTATTTAAATGTTCATGTCCTATTTTTCCAACTAGAATTAAAAAGCAGCTTGAAACTTACGTTGTCTGATATGGATCTGACAATAAATAAAAATCAGATAGACATGTTCATGATATTAATTAAGTCACCTGTTTCTGATGCAGCTGACAATGCAATATTACAGACCAGAATGATTTTTACAAGTGTAGAAGAAAAACTAAAGGTTCCTTCTAACTTCTGACACAGAGCTGAAATATCATTTGAGGGTGGGGGAGGACAACCCTAAAGATAGAGAAGAAACTCGATTTTGTCCCTGGGTAGGTAGGGTACTTACTGGGTAATTACAACATCAGTATTTGCCTAAATAGTTTCCCTTATTACCTAGTTATTTGCAAATCTGAGAAGTTTCTGTCTGTGCCTCCAATCTGCTTTCTGTGTTTCAGAAACTCCATGCTGTTCTTCAGAAATCTTCTCTAATTTATTTTATTTAATTGTTTGGTCAAAACTGTATTGTTAAATATATCCCTAGGAAGCATATCAGGTGGTTTTGGGGACCCCTGGTGGCCTAGTGGTTAGCATGCGGGACTCTCACCGCTGCGACCCAGGTTCAAATCCCAGTCCCCCAGGCAGATGGAGCCCGTTAGCCCTGTGAGGCCATCCATCTATGAGAAGGTCACTCTAAACAAACCTACGTCCTGAGGACCTCACTGCCATTGTCCAAGCTTGCTTGGCCCAGGCAGATGAACCTTAGGATTAAAGGGTGGGCTCAGTTCAGCGCAAGCTGTGTCTCACCTAAAAAATCCATTGCGCAGGCTGGAAAGGTAAAAGACCTTTCCCCAAATCTTCGTTCGTGAAGACTGGCCATTATTATTATTATATCAGGTGGTTTTATTTTTGAGACCAGCGGTATGTAGCAGGAACTGATAATGTGAAACCTTCTCTGGAAATGTTTTACTAAGTAGTCTACCTGTGTTGGTTTGGGAAGGTTTCTCTTGGGGGTAAAATTTACATAAGTTTCCTTTTACTTCCTGCTAGTTCTTTTTCTGTTCACTGCTTGTTTTGCACTGTTGTAAATAACAGTCCATGGTGCTGTTTTGTGACACTCCCTCAGACTCTCTCTCAGTTTTTACATAGGAGGGTCAGAGTGGGCAGCACAGAGGTACACATCACACAACCCTGTGGCTTCTGCTGATGCTGGGAAGTAGACAGTTCAAATATTTCGTCACTAGCAGAAATGTGACCCAAAATGATAATTACATTGTAAGAAATACCTATATTTATGTAACTAACTCAAGAGAGGGTGTTTTTTTGGTGATAATAGAATGTGGAAGGTGACATATTTCAGTTGTTATCCAGATGCAGATCCGTATCTCCCCAGTATTGTGCAGAGCTGGCAGGCCAGTAGGAGCCAGCATTAGCAGAAGTCTTGTCTTCCTGCGTGGATGGCTCCTTCCTTGTGGGTAGCTGCCTTCTCTGTCAGCTGCTGCAACAAAAGAAATCAGAATTAGGCCTTTGTATAGGATCAAGTGGTGGGGTACTAGTAGAGTCATACCGGGTTTCTGATGTTCACATTTATTCAAGAATGGATATTTCTTTTTTGTCTGGTTTCAGCCTTTTTGGGGTAATACAAGTTAGACCTGAGGTGATAGTTTAGTAGGATAATAGCATTCACATGGGGAAATTATTGGTCATAACTATATTGTTTATATAGTTTATGAAATATGTACTTTTTATTTTTATGCTTACAAGTTTCCAATGTCAACGAGATGTTGGCTGGTGAAATTTATTTTTTTTTCCTGGCTCTTGACAGTTTAAGGACAAGTGGTTTTGTTTTCTCTCATATAATTGGAAAAGTGGACAAGGTCAGGGAGTTTTAATGGAGTGAAGGGAATCTGGTGAGAGCCACTGTGTAACACATGAGCTATATTTTCCTATTAGTGTGGAATTCTTTAATGCTTCTCAGTTGTATGCTTTCTTGAGAAAACTCTCATTCAACATAAACATGTTTTTCCAAGACTTGGAAGTCCATATTAAATATTGCAGCCTGCAGCAGGGAGCCACTCCATTAGCTCTCAATGAGTGAAGCTTACGTGTAATTCATAGGACCAAGACTGGGAGTGAAATTCCCTATTTAGTCAATAGGGAAAGTTAGGTAGCATGAATTACATAGTGTCCTCTTCCTCCCACTCCCTAGTAAACTACCATGATTAAGTGCTGAGAGTAAATCATGTAACTCCCCCCAGTGCAATTCAGCAAGGCCATCAGTACTCAGTCCTAGGATAGAAGCACTAGTGGGGAACAGGGTGGAGCATAAGGAAAAGGTAATAAGGATTTGCCAGATGGAAGGCTCAGATGTGCTGAGAGGAGGAAGGGATTGTAACACCCCTAGCAGAAAAAGAGGTTTGGTGAGGATTTGGATGACAGGAAGAAAAGCAAAGTTACAGTATCTATAGTCATCCCTGACACTAATTATCACCCATTTATTTTCCACTGGTCAGTTAAACTGAATTTAGGTTTCATCTTAAAACTGTCAAGCAAAATTTTGTGGGGAATATCAAGGCAACTTCTGTAGAAGGATCCTCACATTACAAACTCTTTCTTTCCCTTCTCTTCCCCTCCTATTTCCCCTCTTCTACAAACTAGTTTTATATGACTCAAACCCTTTAATCTACTACAAAGACCAGAGCATTTTAAATGCTTTTGTATTGCAGTTCTGGTATATATTCAGCCTGATTTCAATACGGTTAACTGTTTCACCTGCCTGAGACACTATTTATAATCTTAGATGTGAATATTATCTGATTCACTTACTCGTAATGGTGAGAAAGCTGCTCCCTCTTCTCCACCCACAACCAGTGTACGGGTTTTGGATTACAGCTACACCTGCCTCAGTAAAGTTGTATTTGTAAACCTCTAGTGAATGTATCACACTGGCGGAATAATGTGTACATAACAAAATTTTCTTCTGGAAAAAATAAATCTCCCAATATCCCATGTTTGTTTTGTTGTTAAAATTGGTCCGCCTTGGAGTTCTTGCTCTGCTGGTTCAAGTGCATGCGTTTCACTTGCTATTTGATGATCCTGACTTGCTGTTAATAGGCTAATGTGGATTGAATCTATTTGTTACCAGTTTAGCTAAGGAATAGCTTGCTTTTGGTGTTTTTTCCTTCTAAGTATGAGATAACTTAAAAGAACGTCTGTGGAGGAGGAGTAATTCCACACAGCAGCAATAAAATTGTGTGATATAAAACTGAGAGAATTTGTTGACACTGGCACCAGCATATTCTGTGTGTTGCCACTGTGCAAAAAATAAGAAAGAGTATTTTTTCATTATATTAATGGCACTTGTATTCTGGATTTGGAGTGGCTATATCTCAGTAATGCAACATTATCCTTGTGTGTGTTGTTGTGCAATTCTGTAAGGAGACTTGTGATTTTGAAGGGTGCTGTGTGAATCAATTAGTAACAGTTGTAGCCATGGATCTTGTGTTCTTGCATGACTGGAGGCTTGAGTATGAAATTTGAGAATTTAAAATTCTTAGGCTTTAAATATTCAGACCATTAAATGAATGTGTCTGCCGGGCATACCAAATTGCCACGTGGATGAAAAATTACATAATTGCATATTTTAGAAGGGGTAAGATAGCATGTTGTCACTTACCAATATTCCTTTACATGATATGGGAAGCAAAGGTGAATAAATCTGTCCTTTTTGTAAAGAGGCATGCAAAACAGTTAAATGTTCCAATGCACAGCTTTGTTACTCTGAACTCGTGTGGCTGAACTGATGCACTGATTTAGATTTACATTCTGTTTTCATGAGACCTTTTTTGTATCTTTATCCAGTTAATATGTTTAGCATTTTTCAAGTGATATGCAAAGTGATATTAATCTGGTTTGTTCCAAGTTTCAAAAAAATCTAAAAATACCTATTCATAATTATGTAAGTTATATTTAGGTGGTACATGGCTATCAGTCCAGTTGCTTAACACACATTATAACCTGTATGAAACCGACAAAATATAACCACTTTGTATTCATTTTCTCCACTCTGTGGATATATTTATTCAGAGATGAAGTATCACTGCTCCGACAAGAAGTCCAAGACTTGCAAGCTTCGCTGAAGGTTGGAAATATATTTTACTTGCACTTGGTTCTTTGTTTCAAATTACAAAGTGTTCCACTGTCCTAAGCAACCAAATTTATAGTTCTCTCTTCCCATCTTCTTTTTTTTGTTTTTGTTGTTATATTCCCCCCTAGGAGGAGAGGTGGTATTCAGAAGAGCTGAAGAAAGAACTAGAGAAATTGCAGGGGCAGCAGCAGCAAGTAATTGCTTTAAAATACTTGAAGCAGGTTTATCATCAGCATTGACATTGAAGATTAATACCTTTTTTGTAAGGCACGTGGCCTGATTTAGTTAGTTCTGTAATTTAAATATTGACATGTTCTTGGTAAAACAAAGCTAGTTTCTCCACAATGTAACTGTATTTATAAATGTGAAGAACAAAGTCAGAATAGGTAATGATTCCTCCATGCTACTCACTACAAATTCAGTTCAGACTTCTCCTTCTGTTAGGCTTATTGAGAACTTAGATTATCAAATAAAATAAATTGAACATGGTGTTTCATCGTTTATGAGAAAGGGCAGTGAAGTCTTTCTTGTAAGAACTTTTGGAAAACAGCAGTGGGATTTTATAAGTATCCAGATGAGCTCAATAAACAAGGCAAGACAAATTGTGGTCTGTTGTGCCCTAAAGGAAGCTCTCACTTCTTTTATTACTATGAGCTATTTAGATACTGGATAGTTACAAACCTAGGGGGGGAGGAGATTGCTACTGGAATTTTGCAAGTGGAAACCTTAATAGTGTAGTGATATATGAAATGAAAAGTCTTTTCCAGTCTTCTAGATATAACTGTTTAAAATCAGGTATTTTTATACTGCTGTGCAGTATTTGAGCACAGAAGTGCTTTCCCTCTCTTTTCCAAAAACTGGATGAACTTTGGAAGTAGTAGTTTTTATTCTTACTGTCTAATGGTACATTTATTCTGTTTTCTTAAGGATTCTAAGTCTGATGGATTGACAACAGCTACATCTACAGGTGGCTAACATTTTATTATATTAACTTCTGCACTGTTTTGGAATTTCTTTTGGTGTAGCTTAGGTATAATAGCATTTTTGGTACATTAAAGAGCTAGAAAGCTGTAATGGTACAATTACCAGGAAAAAAAGTTCATTGTAAGAGCTATCAAGAGCTATCTATCTTAAGCAGCAGTCTGGGGAAATGTTCCAGAGGCTCAGAATTTGAAATTTCTAAAAGCAAGGCAAGAGTTCTCCTGACTCTGACAGCAGTACTCATGAGTCATTTTGAACAGCTTTTTAATCACTATATATTCAAGCAATCAGATATTTAAACCATAGCATTTGTCAGAAGTGGTTTTGTTTAGTGTTTTTCTTACTCATCGCTATCAAAGAAAACAATTAAATTTGGTTTTGTTTTGCAGACCACTAATTTTTGCTCTACGTTTTTCTCTATGGGGCACTCATAGAATAACATTTTCCCTATGTGTACATAAACTATTTGACCGATATTGATTAAAACTTTTAATCACAATTCAGGGCTTGGAATTCAGCAGCATGTTGCAGTGATCTGAAGGGCTGTTTGTGACCAGTGAAAATCAATATGTACTTAATCCTGCAGAGCACTCAACTAGTGACAAGTTCCAGCATCATGCTTGTAGATATTTAACTTCAGTAAAGTTGTTCACTTTGCTAAGTTGATTGGACGTTAAGGGATTTTGGATTACGTATTTACCTGTTGTGGTTAGTTATGGGCATGAGGAACTGTATTGTCCTAGCTCTTCTAGAAAATAATACTGTTCTTTTTATGGAAATAGAATCATTAGAACGGCAACTAGAAGAGATCCAAGTAGAAAATTTTAACATTAAGCAAATGAAAGACTTATTTGAGCAAAAAGCGGCACAACTGGCCACTGAAATTGTGGGTAAGTACATTAATATGAGATCTGATTCTGTTCTTTACTTGTGCAACTTGTGTAAGGGATTTATTCAACTTCCTTCTTACTAGATCTTAAATCAAAGTATGATGAAGAAATCAGCCTTCGGGAAGGTGCAGAACAGAAAGTGACAAACCTGAGACAAGAACTGCAGAAAGAGAAAAGTACAGTGGAAGACTTAAAGACAGAGCTGGTATTCACATCACATTAATGTTTTTGTTATTTTCAAGTCAAGGGAGGGGTGTACTTAAATGCTTGTAAACAGTTTTAAAGCAGTCAAACTCTGTTTTACTAGGATATGTCTGCTTGTGGTCTGAAAAAGTTCGGAACACCATTGTTTCTGATCTACATTTTCAGTGTTTTTCTAGTGAGAAAATATATGTTTTTTCTGTCATACTTTAGAATTTACCCTTCATTATATTATAGTCTGCTTGTCTGATCATAGAATCATGGAATCATAGAATCATAGAATCAAATGGGTTGGAAAAGACCTCTGAGATCATCAAGTCCAACTCTTGATCCAACACCACTGTGGTTACTAGACCATGGCACTAAATGCCACATGTCATCTTAAAAACCTCCAGGGATGGTGAATCCACCACCTCCCTGGGCAGCCCATTCCAATGTCTGATTACTCTCTCTGTAAAATATTTCTTCCTAATATCCAACCTAAACCTCCCCTGGCAGAGTTTAAGACCGTGATGCTCTACCCTTTAGCATTTTTGCAGGGTATTACACATATAGATGTGCTGTGCAGACCTGTACTTGGAGCACGCTATTGCTGACTTCCACATCTATCTTTAGGTCACCCTTTTTCCATAAGGTTATGCTTTGGCTGTCCTTGGAGAGCTGCATTTGTAAGAAGTAGTCAGAGAGGTGTTTTGTGACATGGTGGCTGAAAGACTGGCAGCTGTCATCATCATGCCTATGTTAATCTTGTCCCTCTTGTGCTTGGCTGATAGTACCAATGTGTGTGTACTGTAGGATTTTGGCTCCTGTTGACTTTTATATACAGCCATGGCTCCAGGGAGCAATCCCAGTGACTCAGCAAGTTGGGCCACTTCTAAATAAGTAGTGAAAGGAAGTTCCTAGTTTCACCCACAAAGCTACTGCTTAGACTCTGGAAGAAAGGACTTGTTTATCCCCTTCTTTCCTGTAGCTGAGTGCCTTGAAGGGCTTCTTGGCCATTCCCAGATACTAGACCTATCCATTCCTCTCTGTTCAGTTGTTTCTTGTCTCCCCTTTTCCTTCTGCATTCTTATCCTTTTCCTGTACCTTTTCTCTTCTGGAGATGCCAGCACTCCTTTTCTCTGCTTTCTTCAATGCTCATAGTTGCCTTCTGTCTCCTTTCCCTCCATGGCGCTTCATATTGAGGGATGTTATGGTGCTTTGGAAGCGATTACCAACAGATTTTACCTTTGGGTTTGGTATTATGCATATCTGATGGTATCTTCAAGACATTTCCTTCGGCTGCCCTTTTGTTTTCTGTTCTTGTGATTTTCTGAAACAGTTCTGGAAAATGAGGAAGTATCCTGTATCTAACCACCTACTTACATAAAAATTACAGAAATTTAATCTTTGGAACTTTTCTCCATTTGTCAGATTTGGTTGAAATCAATCAAAAAGTTCAAAGTTTAGCAGGCAAAAACTGAAAACCAGCCCTTAAGTCCTGTTTCCTTTGGGAGTGATAAATACTTCTCTGTGGTTTTGTTCTGGTGGGGTTTTCTTATCTCTTTTTTTCTTTTTTTTTTTTCCTCAGCCTAGCTGTAATACTCTGTATGTCATCTTGTCTATAAATTGATGATTTGATAGATTTTTAGAAATTACATTGACACTGGAAGCATGTCTGCCAACATTATGTTGCTCACTTCTATTCAACTTTTCAGCTACAAAGGCCTGGTGTGGAAGATGTGGCTGTTCTGAAAAAGGAGCTGGTACAAGTTCAGACGCTGATGGATAGAATGACTCTGGAACGTGAAAGAGAATCTGAAAAACTGAAAGATGAGTGCAAGCACTTGCAGGCAGAGCAGGCTAACTCTGAGGTAATAATCATACCTAAAGATGAGTGTTCTAGCTTTGTCAGGATTATCATATGAAAATGGAATATATTGCTTAATCATTATGAAAAACTCTTTTTCTTAATTGAATCTTCTCATTTATCTAATAGACAGTAAATTGCATAATTCTGTCAATATTTAATCTCCAAAAGCCCCCATGCTTTTTATTGCAAAACCTTTTTTTGGCATAAAATGTTATTACAAGATCCCAATAGCAGTGGAAAAAACCCGGTGGAATTGTGTTCTTTCTACAGGGAGAGAGAAATAGAGCAATACCTGTGTGATTCAAAGGCTTGTTTCTCTTACTGAGCTACATGCGGATAAAAACGGTTGTTACTCAAAGTGGTGGGTTTGGTTAATGTTTGAGTTGATGTGCCTGCAAATGGATGCGAGGCTGTTAAAATACATTAAAAAAAGATCAACACAAGATGGATGAGAATTTCAATATGCTTATAGGACGTATGTAATTCTTGAACTTACACAAGATTTAAACATCTCAATGGATATTGTAAACTGCTTTTCATTCTTTTTTCCTTGTTTTTACTTTCAGAGGGGAGACCTTTTTGCACCTATTATTTAATGGAGGAATATTTTGCGTGTAAGGGAAAAATTTGTTGTGCGCACATATACCCCCACCTACCTCTCTGACAGACATAATGTCAAGAAATCCTAATAAACTTACAGTATCACGAAAAAGGCTTTTATCTAACCTATAATTTATTCTATTTAGGAGTTGCTAAATCCATACCTCTCTTGCTAGGTGTTGTTGCACCTCACTGGTGGGTTGGTTGATACAGTTTTAGTGGTGGATGACTTGACAGTGTTACAATCTTCACAGAAGACTGTCAACTGTGTTTGAGACTTTGTAATTTTGCCCCCTAGCTCTTCTGTTGTCCCCTACCAATGCAGCAATGCCAGCAAAACTTGTCAGTGCAGAGCTGTGGTCCCTCTTAAAGTGAGGTCCTTGCAAAATTCTCCGGCTTACATGCGGAAATGCCTAGGGTTTCTCTAGGACTCCTAGTATTCTCTGTCCTGTTGAGATTTGTGGATATGAAGAATTTCTGACATACTTTATTCTGGGGTTTCACGTGCCCTAGATTTCAGAACTGAAGTTTTAACTTTCTATTTATTCATTTGCACTGTAGAGCTTTAGAGAAATATTGCTGGGTATTATTCCAAGCTCTTTCTGTCTCAACCCCCAACAGGTATGTTTAGCTCCAGGAATTATACAGTTTGCACAGTATGTACAATACAGTATGTACAATATGTACAGTATTGTACTAAACATGAATCTACCATCGTTTTCAAGTTAAAATTATGTATGCCAAGCGCTTCATCAGATGTGAAAAAAGAATATCAAGTTGGCATTATGAATATAATGTAGTATGTGGCCATGTAAGTTGCTGCATAATTGTAATTTGGTTTTAACTGTGAGATCCCACAACTATGCTGCAGAATTCAAGTTTCATTTCAGAATACTGTCTTTTTAGTCTTTTTGTAGTTTTGGATATTTAGTTTTCATGTGAAGACAAAATTACAGTGACATGGGCATAACAAAAACCTTTCATCTTAAAAACATTTTCACAGAAGCATGAATTACTCCTGTTCCCCCGAATTAGGTATGTTTAAGTTTCGACATAAACAGCCATTTTAAAATGTAGCTATCAAGTGCAACCTTTAACAGGAAAAAAGACAAGAAGGCTTTTTCAGTCCTCCTGGAAGTGTAACAGCAGATGGGGGAGAAGGCTGTGTGATGCCCCTAGCTGTTATGATGTATCATATAAGAAGTCTTAGATGTATGGAAGGATTATAAACTACATTGCAGCAGTTATGATAGTATCATATAGCTGTGTAGTATCATCAGAATGTAGGGTGAACCAGAGTAGACCAAGTTGCTGTGTTGCATAACATGGTAAGCAGTGGCAGTCTGGTTCTTCTCAGAAGTGTTATTGTCTGCTTAATTTCAGCATATGGTGACAATAGCACAAGACGTGTTCAAAATAAATGTTGATGTAAAGTGACAGGTTAGACTTTTTAAGAAAATAAAAATTACTCAAAGTCATAGTAGTGAAAACTATGCTACTTTTCTTAAAATGTCCTGCACACAGCTGGATGAACACATCATGTGTGGGAGCAATTGTCTCATGGGTCGAGCACAGAGGGTAACAGTGAATGGGGGTGACATCAGAGTGGCGACCTGTCACTAGTGGGGTTCCACAGGGCTCCATCTTGTGCCCAGTGCTCTTCATAATCTTCATAAATTACTTGGATGCCAGACTGGAATGGATACTAAGCAGGTTTGGAGACAATAGAAAGCGGGGAGGAGCTGTTGACTCCCTCGAAGGCAGGGAGGCCCCGCAGAGAGACCTTGACAAATTAGAGGACTGCACAATCACCATATGAAATTCAACAAGGGGAAGCGCTGGATTCTGCACCTGGGATGGGGCAACCCCGGATGTATGTACAGACTGGGGAATGAGATGCTGGAAAGTAGTGCCATGGAAAGGGACCTTCGGGTCCTGGTTGATGGCAAGTTGAATCTGAGTCAGCAGTGCCCTGGCAGCCAGGAGGCCAACTGTGTCCTGGAGGGCATCAGGCAAAGCATCACCAGCCGGTCGAGGGAGGGGATTGTCCCGCTCTGCTCTGCGCTGATGTGGCCTCACCTTGAATATTGTGTGCAGTTTTGGGCATTACAATGTAAGAAAGATATTAAGCTGTTAGAGCTTGTCCAAAGGAGGTCAGTGAAGATGGTGAAGGGCCTTGAGGGGAAGCTGTATGAGGAGCGGCTGAGGTCACTTGGTCTGTTCAGCCTGGAGAAGAGGAGACTGAGGGGAGACCTCATTGCAGTTACAACTTCCTTGTGAGGGGAAGAGGAGGGGCAGGCACTGATCTCTTCTTGTTGGTTTCCAGCCCACCCCTTCCCCTAAGCAAAGACATTAGAAACACCTGAATATTTTAAAATGAAGAAGTGTGTCTACTAACAGCTTTTTTGACTGCTTATTTCCATCTTTCATAAGCCATTTTATTTTTTCTGCTTTCTAATGCAGACACTTAAATTTAAGGTAAATTTCTTTGGAAAGCATTTTATTCTTGTCACAGATTTCTGTTGTATCAAGAAAATTTCAGGACGTTGTTAAACAGAAGCATTCCTGATTTTTTTATTGGTTCATTAATCATACAGACACATCAACAAGACAATATCAGGAATGAATATTTATCCAGGATGTATTCCCTTGTTAAGAATGGAATGTGGGATAGACTTACTGAATTATGAAAGAGAAATGAATCTTTATGCATATAAATTACAATTCTAGTTGGAAAGGCTGCAATGATGTCCTTCATAAGCTTCTGCACGGTTTCTGAATTAAATTGTCTCAGTACGAAATATCCATACTCTGTTTTTTGATAACATCCTGGAATGTTTATCTGACAAAGACAGATCCTAGGGTGTGTTTTAGCTAACATCTCTGTTATGAAACAGCTTTGTAAATCACAGCATTACAGAAAGTCAATTAATAACTATATGTAGTCATATAATGTGTTCATATGTTCTCTTTGGTGTTCCTTTTTCTGTAAGAAGGTGTTCCTTTTTTGTAAATAGGATTTGTGTTGTCTTCTGTTCTGCTTTAGTTCATTCTTGAATTCTGTATTTATGGTGAAATCTGTGGTTACAAGAACAATAGGAAGAAAAACTTATTTAAAAAGGTCACTATTATATAGTGTATTTGAAATGAATGCACTAATACACAGCACACTTTAGGGCAGCCATGTTCTAAAGTGCTTTTCTTGATTTCTTCCATTACTATAGTCGAATACTGTGCAGTCATTGATATATTCTGTTTTGTGCTAGTCCTATTTAATGGGGTAGCATTATTCCTCTGATTATGTTGACCTGCAGTGTTGATCTGCCCAAAAGACGCACACCAAGTTTGCATCAAATGTCAGACTTGCTTCTAGTGCCTTTTCCAGTACATTAACCTTACCAGGGCGGCCAAGATTTTGGCCTAGTAACTGCAATGACTTGGAGAAGTTTCACCTTGAGCTAGAACTGTGATAATGATAACTGGATTATCTGTTACGATTTTCATCAGTTTTGAGCTCAACCTGGCATTTGCTACTGGACTGGATCAGGTTTTTGTGTTCTGAAATGGGACATGATTTGAATGAATCTCAGCTGGGAAATTATGCTCAGTTGTACTTCTATAGCTGATGGTGCTCTGAGATCAGTTTACAGGTGACTTTTTTCTTAAGCTGTTTATTTGTATACAAGAAGCTTTTTATTTTGCTACCACACATCTTGCTTTTGTTGGATTATGCATGCAAAGCTTTGTTTTAAATGTGGATTTTTCTGTTTGTCCGTTCAGGCTACCATTAACCAGTTAAGAGCTGAACTTGCCAAAGGACCTCAAGAGGTGGCCGTGTATGTTCAGGAGCTGCAAAAACTTCAAAGTTCAGTCAAAGAGCTAGAACAGAAAAACCAGGTGAGAATGCTATTATTTCCTATGCTTTTCAGCTCACATTAAAATGGAAACACATCACACATTGTCTTGGGAAGTGCTGAAGATTAACTTTGCTTCGTGATGTTGCAGAAGTTGAGAATTCCTTTGCCGTTTTGCATAACATGAGGAATTCCATAACGTGCAAGCAAATGCTATATTTTAATGGTCTTCATGTGCTACAACTGAAATCCTTTGGGTTGTTATGATTGCAGATTTCTAATTGCTGCAGTTTATGCTTACATATCATTAAGCTGTATTGCCATCTCACACATTAAAAGAAAAAAGTAGTACCCTGTGAAATACTACATTTGCCTAAAAATCATAATTTGAAAGATATTTTGAGCTCTCTTTGTTGGTTTTCCAGTGTCTTAACTTTTAGACCGTACTTGTGTCATATTTTTCTGTCCATTTATCAGTCATAAGTGGTAGAAAATGGAAATAAACTCCAGAAACTTCTTAGCTTATAAATATTTCTTGAGCATTGTTATCAGAGCTCTTTGAGCTTGCTGCGTTTTGTATCTGCATTTATAAGCTATGTATTGTGGGGTAATAAAGGTAAGGGAGGAAAGAAGGCAAGGACAAAGATGTATGCTGCTTTTTGTTGCATGGATATGTAACATTATTTATGAAGTACACATTACATACATGTATTTACCAGCAACCTTTTCGGTCTTGGAAAACAGGAAAGGACAGGGACCAAACAGACTGTATTTAATGTAATCTAATATTAAAGCAATATTTTCAAAGAATATAAGAAGATGCAGTTAAAATTTGGTGAATGAAACTGCCTTTAGTAGGATGACTCTTTGTTTGGCTCACTAAATCAGGAATGGAACTGAGCTGAGGAGAACTGTCATGCTGTAATTTTCCACAGACCAACAACAATGAATCAAGCTTTTGGCAGAATTATTGCTATACAGTATAGAGCCCTTTCCTGAATATATTGCTATTTCATTAGCAATGTGGAGTGAAACAGATTGATGCATAAGATAATCACACTTTAAGAAGTCCTCTGCTATGTCAGGTTAATGACAAACACCACTTGAGGAATAGAAAGAGAAGTGGCGGTGAGCTACTTTTCCTCTTTTCAGATTCAGTGGCTCAAAGCAGTTTACAGCTATCTCTTTATGCAGTTTTTTGAAAGATGGTATCCATAAGAATGATATGCTAGCTAAGGAATCTTGGTCCTGGGGGAGCTGTACCTAGAATTGGAAAAGGTAATATTAGCTTCCAATAACAGAAATTGCTTCCACTTTGAACAGTTTGACATCCTTGAAGAAGCTGTCAGGGAGGAAGGAGGAGCCATTAATTCAGGATAGAATATATGTACAGTAGATAGAATATAATATATTTGATATATACATCCATTTATAATCCAGTTGCAATGTGGGAAGATATTTCTGTGTGTTGACGCAGAGTTTTTCAAGCTCATGTACAACCTCAAGCAAGCAAGCTTTTTCTTATATTTTCAGGAGCTATACTGAGAAGAACAGGTGACAAGTATATAAGAGCAGTTCTCTGACACCAGGAACTCCCTTTTCTTCATTTTTAAAGCACTGTAATTATGGAGCTTGGCTTGCCTTGCAGAGGCCAGTAAGGGCCTGTAGCCCGGAAGAGACCTAACGTGTAAAACCAGCATAATGCCTGAAGTATAAGACTTACTGTAATTCTAAACCCATTGCATGGTTGCTTTTTTGGTTTGGTGATTTTTGGGTTTGGTGTGTTTTTTTTCTTTTTCGGATGATTGTGATGCGTAATTTACAGGGAAAAAGGCACAGTTTACATAGTTTCTAACCTGTTGATATAACTATTTTGAAATCTGATCAGTGGTCACGGAGTTTTTTCTTTGATGCCTGGCCACTCTCACTACTAACATGTATTATGTGTAATTTTCTAAGGACCAGTTATAAAAGAGGGATCAGTGTGGTGTTTCCCTAGTATCTTGTGAGCTTTGAAGGCTCAGGATTCTTTGTTGAGTGCTGTAATGTACTGTCGTTCCCTGTTTCTTTTCTGTGGAAATCGATGCTCAGTTAAGAGAGGTGGCTTGTGTGTGCTTATCTTAGCTCTAATTCACCCAGCTGTGATGAAAAAGGTTCTGTGGTGTGTTGGTATTTTAGGAACACTACTCACTACAAATGTAAATAATCTTGCCTGGTCATTTCTCTTTGATGAAAAAGGGAATTGCAGCTTTATTTTATATTCTGAGTGTGAAATATATTTTAAAAGCAGTGGAAACCTTGCCACTGTCTTCAGGAGGGTAAAGATGGATGAAATCTGTATGATTTTTATGTGCTCTATTCCTGCATTTTTAGGTATGCATATATAAAAATTGCTTACCTTGCAACAAGTTTTATTTTTCAAGAAAATTTCAAAATAAACTTCTTCAGGGCTAGAATTCAATAGCCAGACTTTATTCTTGAGCCAGAATTTTTTTCTAAGTTGTATGCTTTAGAAAGTTGTGGTGGGTTTTTTGGTGTTTTTTTTTTGTTTATTTTGGTTTGGTTTTTTGTTTGTTTTGGTTTGTTTTTGTTTTGTTTTGTTTGTTTGTTTGTTTCTCTTTTATGGCCATAGGGCAGTAATTATATTTCTTCTTACATAGTTTGCTGGACTGATAGAGTTGTCTCTTGCAAGATGGCTTGTTTTCTAACTTTTTAAAAATAAATTCTTTTATCGTGATTGTAAAATAGAAGTGTCTGTATGTGATTTATAACAACCAATATCATTACAATTTCTTGAAATATGTAAGGAACAAAACTGTTTCACTTACTTGAATATTTTCCACTTTTTTTTTTCCTGGCAAAACAGAGTTTGTGCCTGTATACTGTGCAGAAGTGTGCTTTTAAGATGCCCAGCATAGCTAGAATTGCAGCACTAACTGTTTTATCTTTGGAACAGTGTTATTCCAAAGCCGGAGAACTGTTTGAAGTATTGATACATAAGACTGACCTCGGTGTTGGCATTTTTTCAGGCTGACATGCTAGAAGTGTTCTTTATTTTTCTGTATTTTAATTGAAGGAGAACTGGAGAATATAGTAGTCACTGAAACTGCAAGAACACCAACCTTTAAAAAAGTTGTGCGTACTATTTCAGCTTTTACCCAAGAAAATCCAGTTGTAATAACCTTAATTTGAACATTCAGGGAAAGCAAATTAGTCTTCAGGATATAGAAATAGTTTGAGTGGTGTTCTCAGAGGAAGTGAATTTATGTGAGAGTATGAAAAACACTATTTCCAGTTGAAACTGTGTGCTGTGTGGACTCCAGAAATAACTTGTGTAATACAAGATAGAGGTCAATACTTTATTTAATGATGTTTTTGAGCAAGTTCTTCACTGTTCAGCATTAACACTTAAAAAGAAATTTGAATAATGAATTGAATAGCTGCAAGCAGAATTGTACTTGAATTTCTGTGTAACTCTCTTCTCTTCATAGAGTCTGACTGAGAAGCTGCTGAAGAAAGAACAGGACTACACCCAGCTAGAAGAAAAACACAATGAAGTATCTGTGAGTAAGAAGAACGTGCAGGCAAGTTTTCACCAGAAGGACCTTGACTGCCAACAGCTTCAGGCAAAGCTGTCTGCATCTGAAGCCTCGGTACAGAGATTACAGGCAGAGCTAGGTGAGAAGGGGGAAGCAAGCCAAAAACTTAAAGAAGAGTTGTCCGAAGTAGAGACAAAGTACCAGCATCTCAAGGCAGAATGTAAACAGCTCCAGCAGCAGAGGGAGGAAAAAGAGCAGCATGGCCTGCAACTCCAAAGTGAGCTCAGTCAGGTAATGTTCCCTAAGCCTCCTAGACCATCCTATTCGAATGATTCCTCAAACCATCCCATCGGGGTTTTTTTAAACTACATGCATTTTTCTTAAGCACACGCATTTGCATTTCATTATTTTAAGGAGAGTAATTAACCAGTACTTGTATTTGAATAAATGTAAAGCTAGCTGGTATTTTAATAAAAATAAAATGCTCTTTCTAACATTGCAGAAAATGAAATACAATTGCCTCGTCCCTTTAGAGAAGTAAAGAAAAGAACAGGCAAAAAGAAGAGGCTGTGATAAGAGTGCAGAAATTCTTTGGTATTTGTTTGATATTGTGTCTGAATCTTTTTAGGAGGTCCAGATTCTTCTCAGGGGCAAAAGAGGATAGTTGTAGCCCCTGTGTCATAGTCGAACTCAGCAAGATCCACAGTTATAATCACCTTTCAGCACTTTTTTGTCTGGGAAGGCTAATGTCGTTTTTGCCTATCTGTAGTATAATTCCTCTGAAAGGGAAATATCTTACTAATTCTGTTCTATCTGGAACTCTTCTTAAAACTATATGATTTTGATTTTAAAGATTTTAAGGTTGAATGAGCATAAACTTTGTAGCTTATTTCTCATGTTTTGATTTGACTTTTTTTTTTTTTACATTAATGGAAAAAGGCTTTAGCTCTTCTGAGACAGGGTTTTTTGTTCACTCTTCTTGTCTTAGAGTGTTAAATGAACTCTTCTTTCATACTACAGCTTTTCCGCTTGTCTTTTTTGGTTGATGCATTCCCTGAAATAAATGAAGTATTGTCAAATGAGAGGGAGGACAATCCAGGATATTGAGTTTGCATGACAAATATGGTAACAGGCAAATTCTAAGCAGGCAGCAAGGTTAGTTATTCTGGTTGAGAAGGGTAACTGAAGCAATAATGAATTAAGGTTATGAGAAAATAAAATTCAAGTACAGTAACAGATTCACTTCCAGTAGTAATTTACTACTCTAGAGGGAGGTTGAGAAAAGTGAGTCTTTGTTTTACTAGACTGATTAGAACTGAACAGTCAGTGCTTGAGTTGCTTTAAGATTGAGTAGTGAATATAGTAGGGAATGCTTAGTGTGAAAAGCTAGGATAATGTGAAGTCTTGATACTGCTTCCTTAGTGTGCCTCCACAAACAACTTCTCTTTATGTTACTGATAGCTGTGAGAGCACTCAGAGCATACATCCCCACAACCAGAACCTATTGTTCTGGTGAGTCCAATGACTTATAGAAGCAACACTTTGATATATCATTGAGCATAGAGAAACTTGAGGCCAATTGAATTCAGTTTAATCTAGTTTATCTTTTTTGGGGAGTAATGTGTTAGACTGGAGAAATCCTGTCCAGTCCTAAGATGGAAGAAGTAATATCATTTTTGTTAGTATGACGTACTTCATTTTAATTTCCCTAAAGCTTATTTATTTTAAAGAGAGTATTTCTTAATTTTCAACCCTTTGTCACGTTGAAATATATTAAGTTGCAAGCTCTGTGTGTATAGTTTATCTTGGAAGAACTGTGACTTAGCAAAACTTTGTTTATGTATGTATTACATCCCAGAATGACTCTCCTTCTCCCATCAGTCTTCTATCAGGGCAAGGGGAGATAATTATATTAGTTATCTGTTAGGAATCTGCACTTGGTAAAACTGGCTCAGTCTGCCTAGGCAACATGCATGACACTTAAGAAACATAGCCAAGAAGTTGAGCTGAAGTCTGGCTTCGGCCTGAGAGGGCATTTTCAGGAAGGATTTTTGGGGTGGCAAAATCAAGGAGGAGGAAGGTGAGTAAAACATTGCTGAATGAATTGCTATGAAAGGATATGGAGACATGACACATTCTCTGGTAACACCATTGGGAAGGAAGACAGTCTTAAGCAAGAACAAGCTGCTGGACCTCAGGATGTGTTTTAGAATTATATAGTAAAAGAACAGTGGAGGACAAAAAGCCCTTTGTACATGTTATAAAATAAAAGCCAAGCAGAAACATCTCTTCCTCTATCTTCATCCAAAGAAGAGTTCAATTACTATTGTAATGAAAAGACTAAATTTCTCATATTTGTTCACTTAGTACTTCAGCGGAATTATCTTTTTATGCACGTAGTCCAATAGCTTACATTGACACAGTGAATTCTGCTTATGGAGGTATATGTATAGTTGTTTAGTCAAACCACGTTTTCAAAGAATCCTTGTCATCTTCTCAAAATTCATTTGCACAGGTGTGTGTCTGGTTAAGTTTGTATATTTTAGAATCTGGGTGACATGGAGGAAGTGATCTTCACAATGGAAGGAAACTTCAGTGATAGTGTTGATTCCAGCACAACAATAGGAAGAGGGTAACACAAGAAAGTATGGACTCCTTCAGTCTTGAGGAAATGTTAATTGTTATTAAATACTGTTGTTGTTGAGAAAATTTGAATCTAATTGGTTGTATCTCTTAAAGTCTAAGTATTTTGTTCATGATTTTTTTTGCATTCTGTAGCATAAGTTAATCCTGGGTTTTATGATTCTGTGTCTCAGTCTGAAAAGACTGGGAGGTTTGCTAAAGAGGATGAGTTATGGGACAAAACAAAACTCCTCTCTCTCAGCAATTGTGGATTTAAAATTTACGGGGCTTTACTCGAGGAAGTGTGGAAAAACAGAAGAGATAGCAACCCTTTATTAAAAGATATGTGTATGTTAGCAAAACAGTTAAGAACAGTAACAGAACACAACAAAACTATACAGTGGTCCTAGAAAAGCAAAGTCTGGTAAATACTTCTCTGTCCTATTAGCGCAGTCCTAATCGTGGCCTGCAGGGGCGCTGT